GCTCATCTGGAAATTGAAGGGGAAAATTTTCCTTTTGTGTTTCATTCAATGCCTGAATTTGGAGCAGCTGTAAGCAAAGGAAAGTTTCGTGGAAAAGTGGATCCAGTGTTAATTGTAGGTTCGGGGCTTACTGCGGCTGATGCAGTACTGTGTGCTTACAACAATAACATCCCTGTGATCCATGCATTTCGCAGACGAGTAACTGACCCAAGCTTAATTTTCAAACAGCTTCCCAAAAAGCTTTATCCTGAATACCATAAAGTCTATCATATGATGTGTACTCAGTTATTTTCAGGAGACTCGAGTTTATCTGATTATACCAGTTTTCCTGAGCACCATGTGCTTTCCTTTAAGTCCGACATGAAATGTGTTCTTCAGAGTGTCTCTGGATTGAAGAAAATATTAACGCTTTCTGCAGCAGTAGTATTGATAGGTTCTCACCCTAATCTATCTTTTCTCAAGGAGCAAGGGTGTTACTTAGGCCATAACTCAAGCCAGCCAATTACATGTAAGGGTAACCCTGTGGAAATAGATGCATATACCTACGAGTGTGTTAAAGAAGCCAACCTTTTTGCATTGGGTCCTTTGGTAGGGGACAATTTTGTTCGATTTTTAAAGGGAGGGGCACTGGGTATTACACACTGTTTTGCTTCAAGGCAGAAGAAAAAGCAGCATTTATTTGTTGAAAGAGGAGGAGGAGACGGGGTAGCTTAAAGCACCTGTACAAGTTGTATGGACAGTTTACTATTAAAGATTTTTAATATAGTGGTTTTGCAGTGTATTGGGTTGATTTTCTGGACCTGAACTGCTTGGAGGAGAATCTCAAGCTCTAGTAATCATTTTTAAACGTTCAAGAACTTGGTGTCCTATTTATACTGTAATGTGTCAAAGATGTCATTGTCAGATAAATAGAAACACTGCCAAGTTGTCTGCCACTTTATGTTCTCACATAACTAAAACATTCTTTTCTTCCAAGACTTGCTTCTGATAGTTTTTGGGTTTCATTTTTAAGATTATAGCTTTGAGTCTATAAAATCACACTCACTAGGCCAGAAGTTCTCCAATTTGATATTGGTCACCCTGCTGCATAAAAGGTGAAGGACCAAGAGCATCAGCTTCACCTGTAGCTTGTTTGAAATGCAGACACCACAACATAGTTACTGAATCAGAATATGTATTTTAACAAGATCCCCAAAGGGTTTGTATGCACCTTAAAGTTTGAGACATACTGATCTAAAAGAATGTGGCATATAAGGCATGTATGCTGGAGGTGGGACAAGGACTAGGGCATTTAAAACTCAGGTTTTATTTATTTTGAAATTAAGCCAACTATAAATCTAATTTATTACTAAATATAATCTTAAAAGATTTTTATGGCTGAACTCTTGATAGGGACTTCATACTCCTTACCTTTAATAATTTAAATAGGCCAATAATGTTGTATATACAAGAGAGCAAAGAACCAGACAAATTTTTTAGAGATTTGTTCCCTTCTTAGCCACTTTTAACAATTTACCTTATTTGCAATTCAATAAACTGTTGCTACAACTACTAATCCCTGTGTGACTAATGAATTAATTTCAACCACTGAACCTAAGACACTTGGAAATGGTAAATACTACTACCCTAATAGTGTTTTGGTATTGACAGAATTACTAAAGGTTAAAATTGAAAACGGTTAAAACCTGTCTCTTCATTTGTACTGTCATTTATACTCTGAAATCTCAAACCTGAGTGTTCTGTTCCATTAGAGATGATAAAGCAAGTCATATATACTATGGTTATTTATTGAATTTATTACATTATCTTGATTTAATTACTTGTGCTTAATGTCTGTATTGTCATACAAATTTCCAGAATTTCTAATATTAAACCAAAAAAGTCTGTCTTCTGAATTTGTCTATGGCAAATTGAATTTCTCATTCTTTTTTCTTTTGCTGAAATTGATTTCATCTGAAATGTATTCATTGAACATCTAATTTTTCATAGAATTTTAACAAGTGAACCAAATTTTATCTTTGTGTGTTATGTGCCTAGTTTACTAGAGTTCATAGTTTACCTTACATATACTTGAGAGTATACTTGCTTCTATCAATTAGCAGCTTACAATGAATTATAAGACTCTTGATAAATTGTCATACCTGAATAAGTTCAACTTTGTAATCCAGTTTTAGTTTCCTCTTATAACAGTTTTCAAACTAATTTCATACCCTATTGAAATATTATGATACATTTATTCATTCTGGATTCAGTATTCTCCTGTTTGCCTGTTTTAAGCTCTAGAGAGTTGGATTAGATGTTTTTCCTTGTAACTGAATTATAAAGGTACTTTTCCCTCAGCTGATACCACTTTTGTAATTAGTGGATCTACAAAAGATAACATCTGGGAAAACAAAGAAAGTATTGTCTTGTAGGGCCCAAGGTAAACTTGGTGACTAATTTCACAAACATATGAGCCTACTGAAAATACCATGGATTTTTTGTTCAGCATACAGATTGAAGAAGTTTGGTGAAAGGATATAACCCTGGTGCACACCTTTCCTGATTTTAAATCATTTAGTGTCCCCTTGTTCTGTTCGAACAAGACCTCTTGGTCTCTGTACAGGTTCCTAATGAGCACAATTAAATATTCTTAAATACTCATTCTTTACAATATCCATAGTTTGGTCTTCCAACAGCATGATGTAAGGATAGACAAAGAGATCAATGCAACGGCAGAGTTCAGAAGCAGGCCCATCCATAGATTGTAAACTGACATTGTATAAAGTTGATAAAAGGTAGTGGTTACGAGTCGGGCCGCTAACCTCACAGTTCAGCAGTTTGAAACTACCAGTGGTTCTGCAGGAGAAAGATGAGGCTTTCTGCTCCCGTAAAGATTTACAGCCTCGGAAACCTGATGCAAGGTCACTATGAGTGACCAACTCCATGGCACACCACCAAAGTTAACACAGTAGTGAGGACAGTTCTGTCAACAAATGGTGCTAAAATGACAGTGTATTTATGGCAGGGCAAGGGAAGGGAATGAACCCAGACTCATTTTAAAACCATAGTCAATGAATTCAAGATTGGATGAATATATATATATATGTACATATATTATCTATATTTTGTTGTTGTTAAGTGCCGTAGAGTCGGTTCCGACCCATAGCGACCCTGTACAGGGTTTCCGAGGGTGTAAATCTTTACGGGAGTAGAAAGCCTCATCTTTCTCC